AAGGCCTTCAAGGGTCATCTGATCCAAACCGAACAAGGTATAATAATTTATGAGCACACCTGGGTTTTATAAAACCATGATACTGTTTTTTTACTAACAAGTCAAATGTTCACAACCAGACCAGAAACAATACATGTATAATAGGGCTTTCCACCTTCTCAGTGGCCGGGGCTACACACCACACAAGGGCTACAGGCCAGAGACTGGGGAGGCTACAGTCTCAGCAGCCCAGCTACCTCCCTTGCCACACGTTCATCATAAGTAGCCTGGACCTTTCCGCTGCCGCACTCACAGCATGGGAATGCTAGCTTTCCTTCTGTGCACTCTGCACAGTCCGCTCTCCTCTCTGCTGCTATGTGCAGCACTGGTAGTACAGCTCCAGCACACCTCCCACCAAACGTTCAGTACAATTAACCCAGCCCCCTCCATGGCAACACATGCAAAATCAGCACCCCATTCCCCTTCTATTGTGCTGTCCCGTTCCCAGGAGTGGGGCTGGAAGCGAAAGCAAGGGGGGGAAGTAGAGTTCAGAGACTCCAGCCATCACGGCATCAAAAGCAATGAGGAGAGCAGCAGCCAAACTGGAGTCCATTGGCCACATGTTGATGCCTTGTAGGTTGTGGACCCTGCAGGCAACCAGTTGGACAGCCCTGATGTATAATAATCCCATTGCCAGCATGTTTACTTACAAAGGTGATGGTGCTCTATGTGCAAAGCCAAACTTAAGAGTAAAGAGGGAAATGCTGCTCTGATTAAGCAAATCCATCTGTTTGGACTGTATTTAAAATCCTAAATTTTAAGGGTGGCTGTTGTTGTTGCTATTTTTATTATAATTATTTCTTTTCTTATTCAAGTAATGCATTGTCCAAATTCATTGTTACTCAATGAGAAATGTCCATTGCATCCTTGTACTTCTTTCCTACACTGTTACACACATACAAACGCAAGCACTAGCACCAGCTCTCCTACCTACAGCTACTTCTCATTTCAAAAGTACTTTCATCCCAAAGTGCTTCAACTGGCACAAGCTTATGAAGACTTGAGCTGATGCACAAACATGGAGAATCTTTTGCCCACCAGGGAAATGCTGTCACTTTGGGTGGGAAACAATATTAAGGCTAGTCTGCCACACCCAGTAGAGGAATGACTGGGATACAGGGCAGTTAAAAAAATGGCAAGCTAGGTTGGCAGTTTACAAGCAAGAGGATCTATATCCAACCATTAACCAGCTACACAAAACAATAGCAAAAGATAAGGCAGTCCAAGCT